GATCGAATAAGACTGAGGCATCTCTGTGGCAGACTAAAATAATACCTGTAATCACGGCATCCGAAGCAATAGCATATGTCCTGCCCTGAAGAGCATAAAAGCAAGCCTGACCACCGCCCGATCGACCTGCACCTTTGGGGCGGCCCCTGGCTGCCTGACCCTCACCCCTAGCTGGCGGGGCGGGTGCTGAAGAAACTGGACCAGAAGATGAGGGCTCACCCCTCTGCTGAGATAAGCTAGCAGCACGACGAGGACACTCCCTCCGCATATGCCCGAACTCTCCACACTCATAGCAACTCCCGGGTGCTGGGAACTGGGACTGAAAGGAACCCCTCGCGCCAGAGTGACTAGCTGATGCACTCAGCCTGGAAGAACCCTGAGCAGACGGAGCATGAGACGAACTCTGTGCTGGAAGAGCACTGAGAGATGGCTGACTATGCTGAGAACCCTGATAACCACGACCTGAAGATCCTCCTCGATACTCGGGTCGAGCTGACTAAGCGGGCCTGAAAGAACGACCCTGACCCTGCTGGAACTGGTCCCTCAAAGGAGTGCCACTGTAACTACCAGAACCTCGAGGCCTCTTAGCCTCCCTCTCATCTAGATCCTGACGGCAAACCGCCTCAATCTCTCGGGCTATATCAACCACCTCCTCGAATGTGGCACCAAGCACTCGCTCCCTAGTCATAAGAACACGAAGAGGATAGGTGAGACCATCAACAAACCTCCGGATACGCTCACGATCCGTCGGAACCAACCAAACTGCATGACGAGACAACTCAGAAAATCTCATCTCATACTGGGACACTGTCATATCTCCCTGCAGTAATCCCTCAAACTGTCTGCGCAGCTCCTCTCTGCGAGACTGCGGTACATACTTCTCCAAGAAGAGAGTGGAGAACTCCTGCCAAGTCAAAGGTGCTGCACCAACCGGCCTACGCCGCTCATATGCCTCCCACCAAGTGAAGGCAGCTCAAGTAAACTGAAAAGTAGCAAAAGCCACACCATTGGACTCAAGAATCCCCGCTGTACGGAGCATTCACTGACATCTGTCAAGAAAACCCTGGGCATCCTCGCCCTCAGCTCCACTAAATGTCGGAGGCTGGAGTCTACCAAACCTCTCGAGGCGACGCTGCTCGTCCTCGGGCATAACTGGAACCCTGAACTCCTGCACTGGTACCACTGGCTGAGCTGGAGGTGCCTCTGGAGTTTGTAATCCCTGCACTACCTGCTCAGGTGTGCGAGCAGCGGGGGTCTGATTGCCTCCCCCGGCCTGTGAAGTAGGTACTGCTGCTGTGGTGGCTGAAACCACCTGAGCCAGGCCCGTGCACACTGTCAAGATCTGAGCTAATGTCTCCTGAAGGCCAGGAATCACTATGGGCACAGCCAGTGTCTGAGCTGGTACTGCTGGAGCCTGAACCGGAACTGGGGTAGCTGGTGGATCAATAGATGCTACCCTCGTTGCTCTGCCTCGGCCACGACCACGACCGCGTCCACGGCCTCTGGTGGCCTCAGTAGGTGGCACTAGTGGTCGTCCGTCACATCCGGTAGCTCGTGTCCTCACCATCTGTGAGAGAATAGAATAAGGAGAAGTTTAGTATTCGGATCAACAAGTTTGCACGACAAGAATTTCAAGAATGTGGAATTTTACTAAACCGGCTCACGACTCGCGAGACCTAGTAACCTAGGCTCTGATACCAACTTGTCACGACCCCAACCCCGGTCGTGATGGCGCCCAACACAATGCTAGGCAAGCCCGACCAATTCAGCACTCTCAATCCCTCATATAGAGTTCATTACCAACTAACAGGGTTTAAATACCAAATTAACATGAATAGAAATTTGCAACAGAAGATAAAATGTGCGCAAATCAAGGTAACATCACTACATAGCCCACCGATCCGGTGTCACGAGTCAAGAGCCTCTAATACAAGTCTGAGAAACAGCCTAAACAAGAGATAGTCTAAAATACTGAAAGTAAAGAGGATAGAGGGAGAAATCGGGTCTGCGGACGCCATGCAGCTACCTCGATGACTCCGGTGAAATCTGGACAGTAGAAATAGCTCGAACTACGCCTCAGGGATACCTGTTTCTGCACACACGGTGCAGGGAGTAATGTGAGTACTCCGACCCAGTGAGTAATAATAATAAATAATGGCTGACGGAAAGAAATCTCGTAAAAGCACTAAGCAGTTCTATATCAAAGCAGTAAGGACATTTAAACAGCAACTAAATGAAGAAGTCAGGCAGAACCCTTTAAACCAGTACTCAACTCGTATACTTTTCACAATAACCGAAATCATAAATATACCGTTGTGGCGTGCAGCCCGATCCGTAATAAATATATTGCTGCGGCGTGCAGCCCGATCCAATAATAAATATATCGCTGCGGCGTGCAGCCCGATCGAATAATAATAGTCGACTGCGCTCACTGGGGGTGTGCAGACTCCGGAGGGGCTCCTACAGCCCAAGCGTTATACTGCTGCGGCGTGCAGCCCGATCCATATAATATACTGCTGCGGCGTGCAGCCCGATCCATATAGGTATACTGCTGCGGCGTGCAGCCCGATCCATATATATATATATATACCTTGCTGCGGCGTGCAACCCGATCCATAACATATCAATCATCCTCACTATTGGATTCTCAACCCCTCTCAGTCAATATAAACTTCGCCCCTCGGGCATACTAAGATAAGATAGGGATCCCAGCCCACATATTACTCTCATTTTGGTTTAGCTATTTCAAAAGCCGGTTCATATTATATTAAACAGTTAGAGACTTGACTGAGGGTATGATTTTTAACAAGTAAAGTGAGGTCAATCAGTACAATGCCCCTAAGGATTCTACAGGTCGGCACAAGGCCCCAAACATGGCAACTAGCCCGGACTATAATGATATTAGCTAAGTCTCAGTCAAAAATACAGTAGAAACATCGATCGGGATGGACCAAGTCCAAATCCCCAGTAGTAATGGACCCCACGCTCAACATGCAGCGTGTGTCTCACCTCAACATAGCACTACGTTGTGCAAATCCGGGGTTTCAAACCCTCAGGACATCATTTATAACCATTACTCACCTCAAGCCGGCCAAAATCCTAGCTCGCTATGCCCTTGCCTCGCAAATCAACCTCCTCGCGCGTCGAATCTGGCCAAAACCACAACGAATACGTTACAATAGGCTAAGGGAATATAACCCAATCGAAAAGACTCGAAAAACATCGAAATTCACGAAATTGGCAAAACCCGAGCCACGGGCCCACTTCTCGAAAAATCAGAAAATTAACATCACCGGATTCCTTTTCTCGCCACGGGTCTATACATATCAAAATTACCAAAATCGGAGTCCATTTGACCCCTCAAATTCCACTTTGAAATACAAAATTCCCAAGCCCTAGTATTACCCTCTTTTGATGAATTTCCACAAATTTCCACGTTAATTCTACCATTAAATCACGTATTTAGGTCAAGGAACTCACCTCCAATCACACCTAGTCGAAATCCCCTTCAATTTCCGTCCAAGAGCTCTCAAGGTCGATCAAAAATGGTGGAAATGAACTTAAGCTCGCGGAACAAAATGAGCTTTCAAACCCTTCTCTGAACAGTGATTTTCGCATCTGCGGTTCCTTTACTGCATTTGCGGCTACCGCTTCTGCGGTTATACCTCTGCTTCTGCGGATCTTCACTAAATCCACGATCGCTTCTGCGGTCATCTCTCCGCATTTGCGGATCCCGCTTCTGCGGATACCTGTCCGCTTCTGCGGAAATACCAAGGCCACGCCAATTCGCTTCTGCGACTCATCTATCGTATATGAGGCATCGCAGATGCGGCCCCAAGCCCGCACCGCTGGAAACAGCAAACCTTCCAAGAACTCACACCTGCGTACCTTCCTTCCGCACCTGCGCAACCGCATCTGCGGTTCCTTTTCCGCAAATGCGGAAATACCAGAAACTAGGCACACCAGCAATCTCATAAGTCCAAATTTCATCCCCATGGTCATCCGAAATCACCCCGAGGCCCCCAGGACCTCAACCAAAAGTTCCAACCCATCCTAAAACATCATTCAAACTTGCTCCAATCATCAAAACACCACAATTAGCACCAAAACCCTAAAATTACATCGGATTCAAGCCTAAGTTCTTCCAAAACTTCCGAATTACGCATTTGATCAAAAACCCGACCAAAACACCTCCGAATGATCTGAAATTTTGTACACACATACAAAAACACCTAACGAAGCTATAGAGACTCTCAGAATTCCATTTCGACCCTCGGATCAAAATCTCACCTATCAACCGGAATTCGCTAAAATACTAACTTCGCCAATTCAAGTCTAATTCTACACCGGACCTCCAAAATCAATTCCGATCACACTCCTAAGTCACAAATCATCCCCCGAAGCTAACCAAATCACCGAAAATCACATCTGAGCCCTCTAACTCACAAGTCAACATCCGGTTGATTTTTCTAATACAAACCTTCCTTAAAGAGACTATGTGTCTCATTTCCATCCAAAACACAATCCAAATCGACTCATTCACTCAAGACTCTTATAATAAAACATAAGGAAGCAGAAAATGGTTGAAACGGGGCGGTAACTCACGTGACCACGGGCCGGGTCGTCACAGATAGTCCCCCTACTTTCCAGTGGCATAACTTTGTGTCATCGTGAAGTTGGTAGAAATAACTTTTTTTGCTGGGAAACTCACTAACCCCCTCTGAAATGTTTCTGACAGTTGATTAGACGTACATCTCTCAGCATTTAATTCCTCAAACATGCGTTACCGTATGATTCAACATCACTTTTGTCGGTTATCGAGGTAATTATAGCCACAATTCTAGCCGCCTATTTCTTTGCTTACACACATCTAACTCCTCTATTTACACTTCTTAATATATCGAACTTTCTCAAACCCTCTTTACTCAACTTCATACTTTGTCTTCAACCCTTCTTTGATCTTCTTCTCGAGAGAAAACTTTCTTCCCTTTCCGATAAAAATGGCTTCTTCTTCCAAAACCCTAGTTTTTCAAAGAGCAAAGGTAAAGTTGATGACATCGTTCCCCCTACACTGAGCACCATCATCCCAAAGAGTCTTGTCACAACCAAAGATTTTAAAGAAAAGTTTCCTTCTGCAAATCTTCGCACTTGGGCCGTTGGCAGATACTCTTCTTCTATCGGTCATTCCAATATCCCTGTTGTGAAGGAAAACTGCAATTGCCAAGATCTAGACATTATCGCTCCTGATCTAGCGGAGCGGGTAATATTAACTAAGAAGGGTTTTACGTATTTTTATACGTATCCCTTCACTTTGGGTCCATACTCTTTGAGTGCAGAGCTCGACTCCGTCATCGTGGAGTTCTGCATCCGCTATTATGTATGCCTGGCACAAGTAAGTTCTTTTGTATGGAGGACAGTCACTTGTTTTCGGTGCCTGTTCCAGGAGACGGGAGGGGAGCTTACCCTAGCTCGGTTGATGAACCTCTATTCCCCCAAGATCTTCCGCGGGGAAATGGTAAATTTCAACAAGTGTGGCCACCATGCTCTGCTATCTAGCATGGATGATGACAACGACCGTGAGTGGATGGAACAGTTCGTTGCAATCGCCACTAGTGACATCATTCCGATAACGACTTCATCTTTTCTGGAATCATGGAACCTCACTCATAAGTTCACCATTTCTCTTTTTTTCCATTAAAGATCGTCCCATATCGTTATTGACTCTTCTTCTTCCACTTATTTCAGCGACTCGGTGGGTTCCACCGCGGGTTGAAGGTTTGGATCAGTGGGTCCAAAAGATTTTGGACATTACTACGCCAGAAACCCACACATAGAAAGAACTAGACCTCATATACGGGTGGAAGGCCAAAAATCATGGTAAGTTAAACTCAACTTGTTGTTTTCCTCTTGTATAAAGAAGCCGATTAACCCCTTTTTCCTTTGTTGAATTCACGTCTACCCAGGGCTCAGTTGTCGTCCCCGAGGAGGAAGTTTTGGCTAATCCTATTGATGCGGCGAGGCTGCTTCAGGAGGCGTTTACTCGAACATGCATCTCTAGGCCTTCTTCTGGTGTAAGTCCTTCTTTTCGATGTCACCGGCCGGAGAACAAGCAACCAAAAAATAGACGTTCCTCTGCGGCCGGGGGAAAATATAAAAGGGCAAGAAGTGTCGTGCCCGAGCTGTCTTCAGATGCTATGGTTTTGAGCACCGTGCCCGAGCCGGCCATAGATATCGTGGCTATTGATGATGATAGAGAATCTAGTGATGATAGAAGACGACGACCTTCATCGACTCAACATAATACTCAATTTGTTGAGTTAGTTACACCAACCAAGGATGATGTTTTGGCCCTCTAGGGGAGTATGATATGGTGGAAAATGCCAACTCCCGTTTCTGAGTCTCCGTACCCGGTACCGTGAGGCTGAGTACCGGGTCCCTGCCATCTTCAGTTGATGAGAAACCAACAACCAGCACCGCGCTTGCTGCAGCCACTTCTCGTGCTTCCACGCCATCAGCTTCATCTGCTTCTTCACCAACTCTATTTCTGCCTCCAACAACTGTTACATCATCTCCACCGGTCGCAGTTGCCCGAGACAATAATGTTCCTCTTCCCTAGTCCCCAGTTCATGAGAACTTGGGGAAAAATTATGCTGCCCCTCCAGAAGATCCTCAAAGGAGGAGGAGCGTTACTCTCTCGGTTTCCACCGAATGCCATATGTTATTCCGGCCGGTGGAACTTGCTAACTATCTTAAACCTTTTGCTTTAGAAAGAGATAGGAATAAAGTTCAAACTCTCTTGGGATAGTGTTAGCTGGATAATGCCATGCATAACGCAACAGTGGTATAATCCTCATTTTCTCGATTATTTCTTCTATCTTTGTTATGGCAGGTTTTTGAGTTTGCATTTTACTTTTACAGGCCAACTTCCTTGCTTCTGAGGACCTTTAGAGGCTGATCCATGATAAGAAAAAACTTATCTCCGAGCAGGATCAACTATTGGCCGAGCGATATCAAACCGCTGCTCGTCTCTCAAAACCGGAAGCACGGGTTGCCGAGGCCGTGGAGTTGGAGGTTCAATTGCAGCAAAGTGAGAAAGACGTAGTGAGGCCAAGAGACTACCCAGTTAAGGGTTCAATTTGAAGAAGCTAAGGCCAAATGGGTTGAGGTTCAAAATGCCATTCTTACTGCATCCGATCATGAGGCTGCTTCCATAGAAAGATTGAATAACTTGGAGGCAGCCTTACACTCCAAAACTGAAGAAATCGTTGCGGCTGAAGAGAAGCATGCCCGGTTGAAGGAAAGGCATAAGAAGGTCACAGAACATAACAAGGTTTTTTGCTCAACTGTTCGTGACCTTGATGTCAGCCTCCAGGCCACTAGATTTGTGCGGGACAGTCTTTCTGTCGAGGTTGATAAACTTAAAGAAGAACTTCAGCGTCGAGCGGCTTCCCTCATTGTTGAGAAAACACATTCTATGTATAGCATGAGGAGAAAAATCTTGGAAGAGGCCAAAGCGGGTCTTATTGACTTTGAAGCCGAAATCGCTAAGGCCCGTGAGCAAGTGTGTTGCAAAAAGAGGTCCACCGGCCCAGCCCGATGCTACCGATTCTTCTAGTTATGGTTCTGAGTTCTCGGAAACTGAAGAGGAAGCGGAAGGTGACGATGCTGAAGGCCAGAATATCAAACCGGCGGCGGATCTACCCACTTCTCCTGGGGCGTAGGTTTTTCTCTTTCTCTGGGTTTTGGAGATGTAGCAGCTTAATTTTTTGCTTTCCTTTTCAAACTTTTGTACTTGTGCTGCTTGGCATATTTATTGTAAAGAATAACAGTTTTCTGTATAAGTTATTTCTGCGTACTTTTACTTAAATATTTGCGCAAGTTTGATCTTCGTGTCTTTCTTCGTTTAAATGTTTGAGCAAGTTTACTTTTTGCGTCTAATTGTGCAAAGCTTTGGGTGTATTTTCTCCCAAAAGCATTTGGATTTCGGGCATAATTTCTTTAAAAATCAACCCTTTATCGTGAGGGTTTTCATAAGAGAGGGCCCTCTTATATTTACGGTGCTCTTGAAGAGGACGTCTCGTGTTCATTACAGCACTAGCATTTAAAGTGCTTATTTAACTTTCAAATGACAAAATCAATTCATCGTTCAAACAAGAAACAAGATAGAAATAAAAGGACTTTACTTCATTACTTCCATTTTCAAAAGTACATAAGCATTTGTTGTGCTAAAAAAAGTTGCCATTTCTTGTGGCTAACTTGTACAACTTGTTTCTACGGGGCTGGCCGCGCAGTCCCCAGTCCCAATGACACAATTATGTTTTCGGGTTTCTAATTCCGATTGAAGTGGCAATATTTGTTTCCGTATCCTTCTATCGTTCCCCCCAGTGTTCGATTGCGAAGAATACAAATTTGAACACTGGAAGTTTTACACCTTCGAGGATTCCACTAGTGAATTGCTAGATAATCTTCAGTTCGGTAACAAACTTTACTTCCCCATAGGAATCTATGCTATCGAGCCAAAGATTATCTAACAATCCCCTAGTGGCTTGCACTTGTGAACGGTCGGGTAATCTTTGTTTGATAGCAAACCTAACTTCCCGGTACGAAATTTGTTATCGATCAAAAGACTATCTAACCGCCCTGGAGTGGTTCTTTGCTTGTGTTCCTTGTCATTAAAAAGACTTATTGCTACTATTGAAACCTCCTTCGTAGTATGCTTTCCATTGATACCTCGTTAAAAACCTTGCTAGAAAAATCCATTTGGGACAAAAACTGGACGAAGGGAAAAAGAGTGCAGCTCATACTTTCAGTACAGGTGATGTTCATCAGCAATAGTATCTCTTGAGATGTGCCACATTCCAATTGCTTGAAACTTTTCTCCATATTGATTCTCCAACTTGTATGATCCTTTCCCAGTGACAGCTGAAACCCGGTACTTGCCTTCCCATGTTGGACCTAGCTTCCATGCATTGAGATCCCGGGTATTTTGAGTCACTTTCCTTAAAACCAAGTCTCCCACTTTGAAATAACTGAGGTTGGGTATTTGATTGTAATATCTTCTATTCTCTGTTTTTGAGTTGCCATCCTTATATGCGCAGAGTCCCTGCTCCAAATTAACCAACATTGCTTCATTGTTTGTTTCTTCATTCGCTCGGAAGTATCTCAAGGTAGGCTCCCTTACTTCCACCGGGATCAGAGCTTCTGCTCCGTACACAAGGGAAAAGGAGTCTCTCCCGTGCTCGATTTGGCTGTTTTTTTGGTACACACATAATACACCTGGCAGTTCCTCAGGCCATTTGCCTTTAGCTGCTTCTAATCTCTTTTTGTGATTTTGTATAATCACCTTATTCTTTGATTTCACTTGACCATTTGCGTTCGGATGATAGGGAGAAGATGAGATCCTTTTGATTTTCAAGTCTTCAAGGAATTTTGTTACTTTTGCGTCTATAAATTATGGCCCGTTGTCGAGGCTATCTCTTTTTGTATCCCAAATCTGCAAATTATATTCTTCCACAAGAAATCCACCACTTCACGTTCACCGATCTTCTGATAAGGACCTGCTTCAATCCATTTAGAAAAATAGTTAGTTAAAATAAAAAAACAAAAAAAAAAACCTTACCTTACCAGGGGCCGACGGCAGCGATCCGACAATATCCATTCCTCACTTCATTAATGGCCATGAAGACAAAACTAAATGCAATGGTTCTGCTGGTTGATGTACCAATGGTGCGTAGAGTTGACACTTATCGTATTTTTGAACGAAAGCTTTGGCGTCTTGTTGCATTCGGGGCCAATAGTATCCTACTCTTACCAATTTTAGTACTAAACAATCTGCGCTCGAATGATTTCCACATATCCCTTCGTGGACTTCTCGCATAACATAATTAGCTTCGGAGGCTCCCAAATATTGGGCCAGCGGGACTTGGAAAGATTTCCTGTACAATTGACCTTCTTTGAAACTATACTGTGCAGCTTTAGTGCGCAGCGTCCCGGATGCCTTGGGATCTTCAGGAAACTTTCCGTGCTTGAGGTAATCAATGATCTCATTCTTCCAGTCCCAGACAAATTTAGTCGAGTTTACCTCGTAGTAGCTATCTGCATCCAGAACTAAGTGCATAAGCTGTACGACCGTACTGGAGTCCGATCCCTTCATTCCGTAGACGATCCAAGGTTATCTAATGCGTCCGCTTCTACATTTTCTTCCTTCAGGATATGCGTAATTGACCACTGCCGGAACCGAGAAAGTAGAGCCCGGACCTTCACTACGTACTGCTGCATGCGTTCCTCTTTGGATTCGAAGATCTCGTAGACCCGATTTACCACCAGCTGGGAGTCACATTTGATTTCTATGAACTCAGAATTTAGTCTCCAGGACAATTCGATCCCTGCAATCAAAGCTTCATACTCTGCTTCATTGTTACTCAGAGGAACCATTTTTATGGCATGTCTTAGGGTTTCTCTCGAAGGCATGGTTAATACTATGCCAAGCTTGGACCCTTTTACGTTGGAAGCTCCTTTCGTCAATAGGGTCCAAACTCCTAATGTCGATTCTGACACCATTACTGCTTCTTTGGTTTCCAAAAGTAATAATCCCAGACTAAAATCGGCCACAAAGTCTGCCAAAATTTGCGACTTAATCGCAGTCTTAGGTTTATATTATATGCAAAATTCACTCATTTCGACGGCCAACTTGGCCAGCCTACCCGAAAGTTCGGGTTTATGAAGGATATTCTGCAGGCGAAAGGTGGTCATCACAGCTATTGGGTGACATTGGAAGTATAGCTTTAGCTTCCGAGCGGTGACTACGAGGGCTAAGGTCAACTTATCCAGATGTGGGTAGCGAGTTTCTGCTCCCGTTAAAATTCTACTAACGTAATAGATGCGAGATTGCGTACCTTCATCCTCACATACCAAAATAGCGCTTACCGCTATCTCCGAGACTGCTATGTAGATTAACAAATTTTCGTCTTCCTCCGGCTTTGATAGTAAAAGAGAACTTGACAAATACCTTTTCAAATACCTCAAAACTTGCTGGCTTTTCGGGGTCCATTCAAAATTGTTTTTCTTTTTTAGTAACGAGAAGAAATGGTGGCATTTCCCTGAAGACCCGGAAATGAACCTGCTCAAAGCAGCCAATCTCCTTGTGAGCCTTTGCACCTCTTTTACTATTGATAGCTAGTTCGGGATGTCTTCGATGGCTTTAATTTTGTCGGGGTTAACCTCAATTCCCCTTTATGGCACCAGGAATCCCAGGAACTTGCAGGTGCTACCCCTGAATGCACACTTCTCGGGGTTAAGTTTCATGTTATGCTTCCTTAAAATGTCAAAAGTTTCTTGAAAGTGCTAAAGATGATCGCCTGCATTTAAAGTCTTAACAATCATATCATCTATGTAAACTTCCATGGTTTTCCCTATTTGTTTTCAAACATTTTGTGTACGAGCCGCTGATAAGTGGCTTCAGCGTTCTTTAGCCCGAAGAGCACCACATTATAGAAATATGTGCTGAAATTCGTTATGAACGAAGTTTTTTCCTGATCCTCAGTGTTTATCTTAATTTGGTTATACCCAGAGTAAGCATCGAGGAAACTCATTAACTCATGCTCGGCCTTTACATAAATCATTTTATCGATGTTCGGAAATGGGAACGCGTCTTTTGGACACGCCTTATTTAAGTCCTTATACTGTATGCACATGCGAACTTTATTATTCTTCTTTGGAATTACTACTATGTTAGCTAGCCGGTATGGATACTTTACCTCTTGGATTGAACCGATATCAAGTAGGCGAGTTGCCTCTTCTTCGACGAATTTGTTTTTGGCCTCTGCAATAGGACATTTTTTTAGTCGTACCGGGGGAATGCTGGGATGCAAGCTTAGCTTGTATACGGCCACTTCCGGCAAGATACCTGTCATATATGCATGCGACCATGCAAAGCAACGTTAAATTTAAGAAATTCAATAAATCCAGACCTTAGTTCGGGGTGCAGTTCTGTCCCAAAGTAGAATTTCCTCACCAAGAAATTTTCGAATAATGCAACTTGCTCAAGCTCTCCCGATGTGGATTTTGTTGCGTTCGTCTCTTCTGGTACCTAGAAATACCTTGACACCTGATAAGATTCCGACGCCTCTTTCCTCTAGTTGACTTTGCTTGACTCGTGAGCAGGCACCGGGTCTTGTAATTGCAATGACGCATGCTCCTTCTCTTTGCTACTAGATACCAACATTGCATTCATCTCCCTTGCCGCCGGTTGGTCACCTCGTATTTATTTAATTCCATCGGGTGTTGGGAATTTTAGCAACCGGTGATATGTTGATGGCACAACCTTTATCTCGTGCAACCATGGTCTTACCAGGATAATTTTGTAGCCCATATCACCATCCACTACCTCGAAAAGGGTCATCTTTATCACCCCTTCGGCATTCGTGGGCAACAGGATCTCTCCTCGGGTTGTCATGCTTGCTTTGTTAAACTAGACGAGGAGTTTTGTGGCCAGAATGATTCTTCCGGTGAGCTTGTCTTTCTCTAATACCCTCCATTGTATAATATTGGCACGAACTCCTTGGATCCACAAGAACATGTTTGATTTTAAAGTCTAATACATTTAAAGAGATTACCAATGCATCATTGTGCAGTAGCAACAATCCATCTTCGTCCTCCTCCGTGAAAGTGATGTCGTCTTTAGCAACTTCGCGGGGCCTCTTGTTATGGGTTACTGATGCCTTCGTACTTTTTGCCGCTAAGAATATGACCTCGCTAATCTCGTTTCCTCCAAAACTCATGTTGATCGTTAGGTGCGGGGGATCCTCTCCTACTTTTGAGGGCTCCATGTTATCACGATTGCAACCGTAATTATTTTTAGCCCGGTCACTTAAAATTCCCTGAGATGGCTATTTTTCAGTAGTGTTGCCACCTCTTCGCGCAGATGTCGGCAGTCCCCGGTCCGGCGACCATTTGTCCTGTGGTGTTCTCACCACAAATTAGGATCCCTCTAGCTAGGATCAGATCTCATTGGCTTTGGCAACCGTGCTTCTTTAATGTTCCTCATAGTGGATACCAACTCTACTACACCAATGCTCAAGTTATATTCTGAAAGTATGGGGTAGGAAGAATCTCGTGAACCTGATGTATCCTTGTCCTGTAACGACCTGTTGTTCCGACATCGATCAGTTCTTCTATCGGTACAAACATATCCGCCGATTGAAAACCTCTACCACGTCCTTCGGTCGTTCGTAGGGCAAAAATCGGCTCCTCAAAGACCGTCGATCTATGTCAAAATTGTCATTTGATTTCTCTTTATTCTTCTCTCGGTTCCGACCCTTAACCGGCACCGGGAAATCGAGGTGATCATACTCAATCCTTATCTTTGACTCGTACCGGTTGTGAACATCCGCACAAGTTGTCGCTTGGAACTCGAACAAGCTTTCTTTTAACTTTCGGGAAGAATCACAACTTCTTGGATTCAAACCCTTGGCAAAGGCTTCAGCTGCCCATTCATCCGAAATGGCCAGTAGCAACATCTTTCTTGTTGGAACCAGGTTACAAACTCCCGCATCAACTCGGAATCTCCTTGTGCAATCCTGAATATATCGGCCTTTCGGGCCTGCAGCTTTTTGGCCCTGGCATGGGCCATAATGAAAGAATCTGCGAGCATCTCGAAAAAGTCCATGGACTGCTCGGGCTAAAGCGAATACCACGTCAAGGCTCCTTTCGTGAGAGTCTTTCCGAATTTCTTCGGCAAAACTGACTCGATCTCATAGGGAGCTAAATCGTTCCCATTCACCGCCGTTGTATATGTGGTGATATTCTCTTGAGGATCTGAAATCCCATCATATTTCGGCACGTCTGGCATTTTAAACCGCTTTGGCATCACTTCTGGTGTCGGGCTTGGTTTGTATGGCAATTGAGTGTAATGCGTTTAGTTCGACCCTTCCAGCACTGGTGGTGCGTCCGGAATTTGGTCCATGCGGGCATTTACTTCCCTCATAAACCGTATGAGTTCATTTTTGAAGGGATCACTCTCGTTGTTGTGATCAGATCCGCCCCACCCGGCCCCATCGAAGCCGACCTTGCCCCTCGGGGTGTTGTTGTCGATCCTCTATGTTGTTTGATTTGCGGGGACACCGAGAGGAACCGGACCTCGTCCATTCGCGTTGTTGTAAGCACCCGATGACGCCTGTTTTAGCTCTGTCATAACATTATCCTGCCGTGTGAAATGGCCTCTTATTGCTCCTGCAAGACCCTTACCGCTTCGACGACGTGCTCTTCTTCAGCATCATCAGGAGTCGCCTCTCGAGCATGTCGCAGGTACCGCCTACTGTGGACCGGTGTGGCCTCATTCCCCTCGTTGCGGGTACCACTGATTGAATCCTCGTGTTGAGGCTGATTTCCTTGGGCCTCAAGGTTGTGTGTGTTGTTAACACCATTATCTGCCATTTTCTATGATTTTTTGCTAAGAACAAATAACCAAACGCGTTAGTAAAAGAGGCAAGGACCGACTTAATTACACAACTGTCTAAGCCGCACAGTAGGCCCCAAACTGTTTACCCGTAAAACGATAAAGTTGAATTTATACGTGGTTTATAGACAAGTAAATTAATTTGATCCTAAAATAATAGATGAATTAAACAGAAATGTAGTACTTAGCCTTGAGATGGAGATAAAATAGCAAAAATTATAATTCCGGGAGCAAGGCTTCCGGGGACAGTTGCAACGATATCAGTAAACAAGAAGATAAACTTATATCGAGCTTTGAATAGATGTAGCGTATGTTTGTCAGAAAATTCATCTCTCTTACAATAATAATATAGCTCACTATTTATAGCTGCACATAGGGAACAAGGTCCTAGGATCAAGCCCCTTTTTAATGTCAATTATGAGGTCCATTGAAGAATGTGTAACGGCAGACAATGAATGTCATATTCCTTGTAACGGGCCGTGTACTTAATGCTATAAAATACTCCTCATTAAATGCTACCGGGTAGCAAGCATTTATTTCATCTTTATGAGTGCCATTCTCTCTGGTAACAGACATGATTGTTGCCTTCAGATTCAACTATCTTCTGTCTTCGGCTCCACGTGTCACTTCCTCATGCGATCATTTAATATAAACATATTTTACCCTATACACTCACCAATGTAAATATTTAGTAATGCTACTGACCAATTTATAAGAAACATATGTTGACGGTTAAGATAATATTTTTACGAATTCTCACAATCTAAAAATCTCAATTTTGTAGAACAAAATAGATGTCAGTATATATAGTTCGTATTTAGTATCAAAGTCGTCATCAAATTGTTTAATTTCATATATATATTGCACCTTTATTATAAAACTCGAATTATTTATTTAAAAAACCTCTTATCACATCCAAAAAAAGGTATAAAATCTAGTATTTTTTTTTATTAATAAATCTGTAATATGTAATAATTTTAATTTGAAAATTTTGAGCCCTTCAATTCTAGGGGGTCTAAAGCAATTAGTTTAGCGGCTTCCCCTAGAGCCGGCACTGCGTTCGTGTTTGCCATAGCAGAAATCCATATACACAATCAATATTATTGTCACAAAGACTTTGTATAAGTTATTATGTATATCATTAATTCTTTACACTTGTATTATCTTTTATAAGGTATGAATATTATTACTCCTATTAATTAATTTAAGAAGCGATGGAGTAACAAGAAGCCTAAAACATCCAAAGAAAGGTGTAACTGTTCTGCTCATGTTTAGCCACACATACGTAGCAATTTCCTTAACCAATGGAACTGTCGAATAAACAGAAGCCGTTTCTCCCTTAAATAGAATTCCTCTTTCCTAAAATAGGAAATACTGGTGGTCCTTGATCCATCATAAGGAAATAGGTACCACCACCAAATCAAAAGCAAGTTGTTTCCTCCTCCTTCTTCTTCGTGGCCACCACAATGCAACCATATCCGCCGCCTTATACAAAAGCCCCGCGGTATGGCGGTGAGTATTACTATGAAGAAAGGCCAAGAGGAGGAAACCCTTGCTTGAGATGCATTTGCTGCTGCTATTGCATCCTGTTTTTCGTCATTCTTGTTGTATCCGCCATCACCTTCTATTTCTACATGATCTTCCAACCAAAATTACCACATTACAACGTTCAAGCACTTGAGATTAAGGAATTTGGATATCAACCTCATGATTTCACCCTAACAATAGATATTATTGTCACTATTAAAGCAGAGAATCCTAACAAAAAGATAGAACTAACTTACGGGGAAGCTAGCTCTATAAACATGACCTACACTGATTCAACATTATGTTCAGGAAAATTACCAGCTTTCCGTCACGGACATAAGAATACAACCATAATCCAGGTTGAACTCAAGGGAAAAAGTCAGTTTCGATCAGGGCAATATGAGGCAATGCAAGAAAATGAAAAAAATGGCAAAATTCCATTATCGGTGACAGCTAAGGTACCTGTGGAGGTTCTAGTTGGAGAAACTCCTTTAAAGAAATTCAATGTGCTTGCAAACTGTTCTTTAATTGTGAATAACTTGAAGCCAGGCAAGAAAGCTGACATTGTTGAAAGCAAGTTCACCTACAGTTTATCAAAATGATAAAAGATCTGCTCAACGTTTTAAATTTTGAGTGTATTTATTGGTTCTTTTGACCTTAGAAAACGAACCATGCATGGCAGCTCTCTTCCTTGTACCAATTATGAGAAAACAAATATCATACAAGTACAATAGTTAGTTTCTTAGGCTTTTTGATTTGCAGTTTTGCACGTTACTCTTGATCTGAATTAATAAAGTTTTGCTTATATGCTACACCTGCACAAGTAACTGATGACAATTGTTTCATTCCTATAACATCAAAAAATTGCTTCTTCTGAAAAACCATAAAAAAGGAGCTGCATATTTCCTACCAAAGGTATGGAATAAAAACATTCATACCACTGCTAAATTAAGCAAGACATTAATATATATACATGTTACTCTTTCAGAGAGAGTTATTCTGGAGATGATTTCCTCTTCTTGTCCCCAATTCATTTCACCAGCAAATCATTATTATTATAAGGTCCACCCTAAAAAGCTTCAAGAGCAAATTTCCTATAGACAATATTACTTTCTACCTATAAGAAGTTAAAGAATTGGCATTTAAATGTTTCAATTACAATAAAATATTCAGCACTGGGAAGCTTCACTTATAGTAACTTAAGATTCCATCTCTATACCAAGTAAAAGTTTTCCTTCTAATCTTTTGTTAACTAAATTAACCAGTTATATTCCCTTTGCCATGGACTATATTTGATTACCTATTTAGGCTAAGACTATTTATTAAGTTCCGGTCCTGATCATTTTATTGGTAAAAAGAATACAAGGGATGTAAAGTGTTTGTCCGGATTTTTTTATCATAATTGGTTTTCTTGTCTCATTAAAGAAAGGACAACAAATTTATCATAATTGAGTTTTGTCACACCCCTTTTTTCACCTTAACAACCCTCCTTGAAAATATAAAGGTGATTTGTAAAGTTCAAAAGGGTTTTTCAATTAGAAAGTGACAAAATTTGTTTAAAAGGGATTTTTTCAGAGTCGTCACTTGGCATATAACCTCAGTGTACCATATCACCATTTAAAAGCAATTTTCCCTTAAAACATATTTGATTCTAAACCAGTTTGCACCAGAGATTCTAGATAATTAAAGGGGGTTCATTTGACTCGGGGTGAAGGTGTTAGGCATTCCCCGAGTCCCGTAACTAGTACGGTTGCATACTTGATCTGGTTGGCTTTTAGAAATACTCAGATTGAGGTAGAAACACACAACAAGCGAAAATAAACACAGAAGAGGGTCGAGGTTGTCCCCACCTAATAAAAGAAAAATAAAATAAACAAAATTAAAATTAAAATCCAAAACTAAGCTACACTAAACTTTTCGTCATGGCCTCCAAAATATTTACACGCTCTTCGGCGGCATTCCCCGGATAAATTTAACTAAGAGCCTGTATGAAAGTTACCTAGGAATTGGATTTGGATGTAATTGGGTGTAATTACACAATTTGACATAGTTGTTTGGCCAAGTAATTACTTGGTCAGCATGGAATTGAGTGTAATTGGAGGAGTGTAATTACACTCTCCAATTCTCAAGGGGGAGGTGAGAATTGGTGGTAATTACACTGTGTAATTACAAGGTTGCCTTTTAGTTTCTTTCCTTTTTGTTTTTATTTTAACTTATTTTCTATATGACTTTTTATTTCTATTTTTAAATTTTTTAATTTCATTATACTTTTTAATTTCTCTTAAAATTTTTAAATATATTTTACATTGTACATTATTTATCATTTATTTCTTTATTTTTACGTATTGTGATTCCATGTAATTGCTTACATTTTATTTTATTTATTTATTTCATTATTCTATTTTTTGAAATTACACTTTCTAATACTAGAAATAATGAGTCATTAATAAACTTGATATATACTAAGTGATGCAATTAAAGTGAAATTTTGTTGTTGAATATAATTATAAACTTATTATGTTTCCTAATCTTAAGTTGTGGTGGAACTTACTATTATTATGTTGGAATTTGACATATGTTAAATTTTTTTTTTTTTGGATTTTGAAATAGAGTTATACTCATGGTTTCAATTTACTTGTTCTTGTAGTATTGGCTCGCATTGCATGTTGTTCGTTTTTTAGTTAGAATTGTAGTCGTGCTTCTTAAACTCGAAAATTGAAAGTTGACCATGTTCTTCAGGTGCGATCCTGCTGCTTGAACTAAAAGTTGACCCTGTTCTTCAGGCGGACTCCTGGTGCTTCTCTGATATGAACTTAAAACCGATTTCTCAAATATTGACCCTCGTTCTCCAGGTGGTTGCCTGCAACCAAAAGAAACAAAACAAACAAATTTCTACCCTAGTTTGCACTAGGAAGATTTGTGAGTTGTTAGCAAAACTATAAACTGAGCTTTACTAAACTAAAAATTGATCTTATTCTCCAGGCGGGAGCCCTGAACTCAAGAAAAACTAGAGACTAAAAACTTAAGGAAACTGACAACTGACCCTATTCTCCGGGCGGGCTCCTGGACTTTAAGAATAACAAAAGACTAACAACTTAAGAAAACTAAAAACTGACCTTATTCTCCAGGCGGGACCCCTCAACTTGAAGAAAAACCAAAGGCTAACAACTTAAGTAAACTAAAAATTGACTCTATTCTCTAGGCGGGACCCCTGAACTTTAAGAAAAACTAAAGACTCAACAAAGAGTTCATGTACGTCCGACGCCCCCTCCTAAAATAAGGGTGACTCAACAAAGAGTTCGTGTACGCGACGCGTACTACGAGACTTATTGCAGATAGAATTAACCGGTAATACATATGACAACAGTTATAAAGCAGTAGCACATAAGGAAAAACTGTAAACACATAAACAACTAGCAAACAATAAAACGACATAAACAAAAATAAAAATCAAATAACGTAAATAAAAACATAAAAACCTCAACCGAATATTCTAAAAAGCCAACAAGATCATAGTATCAGCTCGAACCTACATCTCCCCAGCAGAGTCGCCAAAGCTAACACACCTCTTTTTTCACCTTAAAAACCCTCTTAAAAATATAAAGGTGATTCTAAAGTTCAAAAGCGTTTTTCAATTAGAAAGTGAATAAATTTGTTTAAAAAGGATTTTCTCAGAGTCGCCACTTGGCATATAATCTCGGTGTGCCAAATCACCATTTAAAAGCAATTTTCCCTTAAAACATATTTGACTCTAAACTAGTTTGCACCAGAGATTCTAGATAAGGGGGTTCATTTGAATCGGAGAGAAGGTGTTAGGCATTCCCCGAGTCTCACAACTAGTACGGTTGCATAAATGATCTGTTGGCTTTTGGAAATACTCAGATTGAGGTAGAAACACAAAACAAACGAAAATAAAAACAGAAGAGGCTCGTGGTTGTCCCCACCTAATAATAAAAAAATAAAATAAAGCAAACGAAAATTAAAATCCTAAACTAGCCTACACTATACTTCCTCCACGGTGTTCGTCATGGCCTCCAAAATTTTTACAAGCTCCTCGGGGCATTCTCCGGATAAATTTGACTAAAGGAACGATCTCTCGCCTCAAAAACTAATAAAACATCCTAATATTGCCTACCTATGTTTGGTCAGCCTAAAACATGCTCTAGCTATATATAAGTGATAAAAGCAATAAATATTACAATTCCAATTTTACTTTGTTTTAACCCAATATCCCGCGACCCACTTTATGCAATTTCAACATTTTACACCAAAGTCTCTATTTTTAACGTACTAATTTGGGATAACAGTGTATAAGCACACAAACATAAAGATTAAGCGAGAGACAATAGCATGCTTGAAATAGAACCTCATTCACACCCAAAATTCTAATAGGCACCAATAATCAAAATTAATTAGGAATAAGATGAGAAATAGACCTTAAAGCTTTGAATCGCCAAAACTCATCGAATGAACAAGACCTTGACCGGATCAGGATCCACGAGCGGAACCTCGGCTAAACTGCACTCTAATACAACAAGACTCTTGAGAAATCTTGAAATCGAAACAAAGAAAGAACCTCGAGACCTCCAAAAAAAAATGCGAGCTTCCCCCTCTTAATTGTCTCTTCTCTCTCGTTTTTATTACTCTTTCCCGTTCCCCTCTATTCCCGTCCTCTCAATGTTGTTGCTCCCCATTTTTGCCTCTACTCTCAAATCCTAATTTCTAGCCCTCTATTTTTTCTGCTACTGTTTTTTAATGTCCCACTCTCTTTGTTTTCCCCTTATTTGTAGGCAGTTAATAATATTATAGTAGATTAGGTGAGTAGGCAAAGCTAAGGATTTTCAATAGGGAATTAAAAAAGAAAAAAAATGGGTAAAGAGAAATATGACTGACTGTTGGGAGTTGTGTGTGTTCTTTATACTTTGTTTGACAGAATAGGGGGTGTTGGAAATTGGCTTATCACGTTAAATGTTTGAGTCTCTTTTGGTAGATTTCTCTTTTGTTGGATGATTTTATTGGTTTTGCATCTGTTACTGTTACTGTTTTCTAGAATAATTAGTTGTTTAGTTTTAGGAGGAGTCTTCTAGAAGATTCAGAATTTTAATTATAGTAAGAGTTTAGTAATTTAGTTGTAGGAGGAGACTACTACTTTATTTATTTGGCTATTTAAAGCCCTATGATTAATAAAATTTTAGAGACAGTTTTTCAATCCTATTTTCAATCTTCTTGCTGCTTGCATATTTTTCTAAAATCCATAACAGTGGTATCAGAGCCTCCATTGATCTTGACGGATATCTGAATTCGCTGAAAAATAACCAATTTCAACCACTTTTAAACCATACCAATTTTTAACCAAATTTTTAACAATGGCAAGCAGCGGTCTCTCTTTGAATACCCCACAAACTTTTACTCGTGAAAACTATCAGATTTGGTCAGTGAAGATGAAATCTTATCTTGAAGCTTATGATCTATGGGAAGTTGTAATGGAAGACAAACTTATACAACCACTTCCTGCAGATCCTACCCTTGTCCAAATCAAAGCTCATTCAGATGAGAAAACCAAAAAAATACAAAGCCAAAAATTTAATTCAAAATTCAGTTGCAGATTCAATTTTCTCTAAAATCATTGCATGTGAGACAACAAAAGAAGCTTGGGAAACACTCAAACAGGAGTATCAAGGAAGTGAACGAGGCAGACAAAATCAGATTTTAAATTTGGAAAGAGATTTTGAATCTCCTAGAATGCAAGATGATGAGACCATCGCTAAGTATTCTGACCAAATTTCTTTAATTGTCAATAAAATCAGGTTGCTTGGCGATGATTTCAAAGATGACAGGATAGTCGAAAAAAATTCTTATGACAACTCCCAAGAGATTTGAATCCAAAATTTCCTCTCTGGAAGAGTCTAAAGATCTCTCTACCATCTCTGTTGCAGAATTAATAAGTGCTCTTCAAGCACAAGAGCAAAGAAGGGCCTTCAGACAAGACAAAGTTACTGAGGGTATTTTTTTATGCGAAACACCAAAAAGAAAAAGTCGATTATCCTTATTGCAAATATTGCAAAAAGAAAACACACTTAGTAAAATTTTGTTGGTGAAGACCTGATGCATTATGTGAAAATTGCAAACAAAAAGGTCATGTTACAAAAGTGTGCAAGTTCAAAGATGCTCATGCACAAGCACTAATAGCAGAAGAACGAATTGAGGATGACCTTCTTTAGACTGCAGCAACACAAGCAAGGAGGAGTGTTGGATTTTGCATCTATTACTGCTACTGTTTTCTAGAATAATTGGTTGTTTAGTTTTAGGAGGAGTCTGCTAGAAGATTCAGAATTTTAATTATAGTAAGAGTTTAATAATTTAATTGTAGGAGGAGTCTACTACTTTATTTATTTGGCTATTTAAAGCCTTATGATTAATAAAATTTTAAAGACAGTTTTTCAATCCTATTTTCAATCTTCTTGCTGCTTGCATATTTTTCTAAAATCCATAACAATTTTATCTTTGTTCAATATTTGCTTTACTAGTTTTTGCATGTCACTTGTTTTTTTTTTGTCCTAACAAGGGTGACTGGGAGAGATCTTATCCTCTCTGTTTTAATTCCTTCCAGCCTAATCTTTGTTTGTCTATGTACTCAAGAGTGAGCTGATAGAGAACGCATGACTTTTGCAAGTAATCTAGGCTCTATATTCTTTGACCAACAGAGAGAGAAAAAACTTGTACTAGAATTTACTAAACAGTTGTCACAGTCTTTAGCTCACATCATTAAATATTGCTGTTAAGTACAACTTGATACAAATTTAGCTCACCTACTACCTAATTTTCAAACTATGCAACTTTAAATTGCTTAAGCAAAACATCAAGCAAACTGCAGAGCTCCTAGGTACCCTTGTAAATGTTTACTCCCAATCAATTAAAGTCCAGGAAATAATCATGGGTTACAATTCTCGTTTTCTGCAAAAGAAAGAATTTACTACCAAGTATGATGCCGAACTAAACTTATTCCTAAGTCCAAAATCGCCGTAAGAACCTATTGAAACCATCAAAATATCTATCCGAGATCATCGTCAAACCTTGGTCAACTATTACTCCCTCCGGTTCATAAGTGTCCTATTTACTTTTTCATTTTGGTTCAAAATAAGTAGCCAAACGACCCCACTTTTCCATGTCACTTTTCCAACACTTGTAGTATTCTATTGTTTCAGTTATTTATCAGTTGGTTACCAACTCGTTGCCTTGTTCGTAACAAATTGACCATAATATATTTTTGCCTTTATTGAATTTGGTGAACTGTTCGTTTGACTCTAAACAATACCATATACACACACAGATGTAACTCGCCGACAAAGAATCAGTGCGTGCTTTTGAAGTAACTACTCCATTAATTCTCTCTATTCCTGTGTTTGAGACCAAAACATAAAAGATTCAAGAAAAAATGATAAATATATTTGCGCATTAAACATTACAAATTGAATTATACTGTAGTACAAGAAAAAGGTAAACTTATCTTTTTATTCTTGGTTGGAAACTATTATTCTAAGATCAATGAATTATATACATATTTAGTTGGTAGTTGATTTATATATTGTAATTATGCTTTGTTACATAGCCGGAGTTAAATTACAAGAAGTAGCTAGAATGGAAAACGACGACCTAAAAGTAAAAAGATTAAGTGATCCCAAAGTGAAAGAAGTCGAAATACTATAATTCGAAGCTTCTCATCTCTCCTTATTCTTGTTCAACTATAAACCCCTTCTTCTAAAATAACTTGTCCATTGATGGTTCTTTTTGTTATACGGGCAGCCCTTCAAATTCATTTTTACTTCACTTGTCTGTTTGGAGGAAATGTTTGATATATTCTTTGGCTGGAGAAAAGCTTCTAAATGGTAAATAGTTATCTTCTTTTTTTCCTTGTTAAAGAAGGTGAAACAGCTTAATTATTGGTTTTATTTAATTTTCTGTGGCAGTAAGAATTTGATTAAAAGAGTTCAGTGTCGGCTTAAGCTGCTGAAGAACAAGAGAAGTTGCATTATCAGGCAGCTGAGGGATGATTTATCTGACCTACTTAGAAATGGGCATTACCAAATTGTTACTGAGAGAGTACGTAATATATACGAGAATTACTTATTAGTATGATTGTTCTCTTCATTTTCCTACAATTTTCAGGTTGAACAGCTATTTATGGATGAAAAAATGGTGGCAGTGTATGACTTATTGGAGAATTACTGTGAATTTATAATCCATAACCTTCCGTATATTCGCAGACACAAGTAAGAAGCAATAGCATTTTAATATACCTCAATGTTCTATTGCAATGACTAGTGTTCATATTTGTTTTTCTTTCAGGGACTGTCCCAATGACATCAATGAAGCAGTGTCGAGTCTCATATTTGCATCAGCAAGACTTGGTGAATTGCCCGAGCTTGTGATGATTCGGAAGCTCTTTCGCGAACGTTATGGCCAGAATTTTGAAACATGTGCCCTTCAATTACTCCCTGGAAATCTTGTCAGCCTTCAGGTTATCCAAATCTTACACGAAAGCCTTTTCGAAACTTAGTCTTTGAGTATTATGAAAGGGAGCCTTGGCGTAACTGGTAAAGTTGCTGCCATGTGATCAGGTTACAGCCTCTTGCAGAAATGCAAGGTAAGGCTGGGTACAATAGACCCTTGTGGTCCGGTCTTTCTGCGGATAGCAGGAGCTTAATTAATGCACTGGGCTGCCCTTTAGTCTTTGAGTATTATATCTTTCTAACTGATCAGATCCTTCTTTGAATACAGGTAAAGGACAATTTATGCACAAACTGTGTATCAGATGAAGAGAAATATAGATTGGTGGATGAAATTGCAAGGATTTGTTTTCAGCAAGGACCTTTACTTCTTGAATACAGACACGATGAGCTGGTAATTGTCTATCAATCCATCAAAATATGCTTCATAGAATAGCCTAAGCAAAAGAAAAAGGTAAAGCATGTTTTCCCTGCTTTATTCTTGTTGGCACCACAGAATTCCTTATGCCAAGAAATTGCAGGTAAATGAAACAAGTAATGCAGCAGCTGATTACAACGACAACATTACAAAGACAGAAGCATATATAGTAAATGCTGATTATTCATCTAAGAGCAACAATGTTATCGAAGATCCTTCCATTTCTCGCCAAGAACGGATTCCTACTGCAACTTCAACATGCCTTTCAACAACTAACAAAGATTCAGTGCACTACTTGAAAAACAATGGTAACGAAAGAGTTCAAGATTCTGCTCAGCCAGGCTATTTATCCCAATCCACAATTTCAAGTCCTGAACGTGTAACAAGAAGGGATATCGGGAAAATTAGTGGCTTTACTTTAAATAAAAACATTGAGAGAAGAGATTCAGCTGAATCGCAGCAGATGATATACCTAGATGACATTCAAGAGTTTGAGTCTGTTGTGAGCAAAGATGTGAGATTCCAGGATCAGAGGCTATTCATGTTCAAAGCCCCTATTGCTCCCTTGAGTCTAAAGATAGATACTGGAAGCAATTTTGAGGCGCAGATTGCAAAAGAACGACCAAGAAGCTCGAGGAAGAATAACAAGATATCTGGAAAAAGAATAAGAAGGAGATCACTATCCATTGAGAAGAGCTTTGTCTCAGACACTGATAGCACAATATACTACGGTGACTTAAGTGAGAGTTCTCGAGATAGCACACCAAAACGCCAAAACAGGCGAAGAAATTCGAGGAAGAGTTCTGTTGAGGAAAGTCAGAAGTCCAATTATACATTCGCACATGACAACCAAGATCAACCTTGCTATGTGAAATTCAGAAGCTTATTGACTTTTGTCAAGCGCAGTGATGATCATTCGAGATCAACCTGCAATTTGAGGTGCAATGGGCCAATGGAAAATCGCTGCAGTTTGGAACATCCATCTTATTACTGGATTACTAATGTAAAAGATAGCGGGGGATCTCCTTTTCGCGTTCCAAGGAGAAGAGTCGAAGCTGCAAAGAATTTTAGTAAACATAGTCTCAAGGAAAGAAAACAAGGATTTTATCAATGCCAATGTTCCTGCAGCCAGGATCAACATATCGTTGGCGATGGATTAGCACTTCCACCACAGATAGCAAAAACAAGTCAAGATGTTGGACTAATGAGGGATGAGTTTGTAAAACCTGATACTGAGGAAGTATGGGAAAGCCGAGAAACTTGTTCTTCAATTATGTCCTCAACTTCAAGAATGGCAGATCAATGTGCAAGAAAAGAAAATCAGAATCCTTATTTGAGGGCAACGACTATGCCTCCTGAAAGGCCTAAAGATAGTATCATAGATAACTTTATACGGTCAAACTCCTTCCCAGTTCAGGAGCCTGGAAATGGATTATCTGAAAATAGCCATGTCCATCCGAAGCTACCAGACTACGACGAAATAGCGGTTAAGTTCATGGCTCTCAAGAAAGAGAAACTACAAAACAAATGCTAGCATTACATCAATATGGCCATCTTTACTCTAGCTGGAACAAATTATGCTTGAGTTATTTTTTTCTATTCCTTGTTCATAGAATAGCAGAGTCATACTTGCATATTAATTGGATATTCCTTTTGTGTGCGCGCGCGCACGTGTATGTTTTGGTGAATTTATGGAAGTCCTGGAGTGAAATGAGTAATGCTTTGATGAAACTAGCTTGTGTTTTGGTGATTAACTATTAAATTCTGAGTGGTTCTCGACTGCTTTTACTCATTGCGGCAGCTTTGATGTAGAAATTCTTGAACAGATAGTACTAAAAGGATTTTCAAAAAAATAAAAAATAAAATCCCCTAAAAGGATTCACTTAGGCCTGTGTTTTTGGAATCAGTAAACAGTTTACTGATATAGACATTAGGTGAACAGTCCTCAGTTTTTCGTAATTGAGATTGATTTCCCAAATATATGAATTGTTTTTTGTGAACCATCAAATACTAGCGTAAAAATAGCACGGTCTAGCCAGTTTTCGGACTGGTCATTCAAAAATAGCCATCATTTATCAAGTCAACGAAAAATAGCCACTATTTTGCTGCAACAGAGACCGGTCCAGCATAATATACTGGAGTTCGGTGCACCTATGCATGAACTTTCAGCATATTATGCTGGAACTCCAACACACGGAAAGTTCCAACCTAATATACTGGAGATTCGAGCACTTGTGTATGAACTTCCAGCATATTATACTGGACCGGCATACTTGCTGGAACTCCAGTATATTATGCTAGAGTTCTAGTGTACTTATGCTGGAACTCCATCATATTATGCTGGAGTTCCAGCATACCTATCCTGGAACTCCAGTATAATATGTTGGATCTCCAACATAATATACTCGCCTATTTTCCGGGTTTTGAACACTGTTTTCGCTCAAATTTATCTTTACATGAAAAGTGGCTAAATTTCGATTACTTTTGAAACTGGACTATTTTTGAACGACCACTTGTAAATCTGGCTATTTTTGAATTTCTCCCATGTTTCACGGAAATCGGACTCGTATAGGCTATAGCGTGGAAATGACACCAGGTAACCATTCTAAAAGGTTACTATTTAGGAATTAACCAGTGCGTCCTAAATTTCAGTTTTTCAGTTTAATTTTTTTAGGACAAAAATGTCCTATATTGTCCTGGAGTAAGATTTTTAATTTAAAATTTCAGGACAAAATAAATACTGACCAATCTCTAAATAGCATCCCTGAGAATGACTATTTATGCACTTGGGTTAACCAAATTAGAAATGGGCTTTCTTTCATAAATGGCCAACACAGACATTATCCCAAGGCCTTTGTGGCCATGGCCCAATAAAGCGATATACAGCAATGATCTTAATGTATCCCGTGGATATAGGGTGATTTTTAAAAATAGCCAGATTTACAACTGGTCGTTCAAAAATAGCTCAATTTCAAAAGTAATCGAAATTTAGCCACTTTTTATGTAAAGATAAATCTGAGCGAAAACACTGTTCAAAACCCGGAAAATACTCCAGTATATTATGCTGGAGTTCCAGCATAAGTATACTTGAACTCCAGCATATTATACTGGAGTTCCAGGATAATATGCTGGAACTCCAGCATAATATGATGGAGTTCCAGCATAAATACACTAGAACTCTAGCATAATATACTGGAGTTCCAGCAAGTATAATGGTCCAGTATAATATACTGGAGTTTGGAGCACCAGTGCTCCAGTCTCCTGTATATTACACTGGAGCAGCAAAGTATACCGGTCCAGCATAATATGCTGGAGTTCATACACAAGTGCACCGAACTCCAGTATATTATGCTGGACCGGTCTTTATTGCAGCAAAACGGTGCCTATTTTTCATTGACTTGGTAAACGCTGACTATTTTTGATTGACCAATCCGAAAACTGGCTATACCGTGAAATTTTGGCAATCTTAATGTATCCCGTGGATATAAGATCTGGACATTATGTGAAACATATATCTGTTGAAATTGGTTTTTCTACTTATTTTTTCATTATAGCTCATTACAACAAATGTGTCACTGGAAATAAATCCTCAATTATAATAAAAATAAGTAGTTCACTACCTCCACCTCTATAATTTTTAATTTGAGCCTTAGTTTTTGCGATGTCTACATATGATTCTCTTGGAGGGACCTTTTTTATGACTACCATCCATATTTAATAACTGATCAGTAATATAACTAATGTAAAAGACTTAATTCTAACATATGAAATCAAGTTAAAAAAAGACCTCTGTGCAACTAGTTTATAACAAACTCTCGTGCAAGAGAAATATTATCTATATAAATAGTGTTCAAATTATAAAAAAAAAAAAATAAAACATTTCCCAATATCTTTATGTATGAGATCCTTCAAAGCACAGAATGTGTATAATAATAACTAAGCCACACCAAACAAGTTAGAATTGACTATATGAATGCTCATATCTTTCTTTAAGCTCAATGTCATTACCATACCAAAGTTACAAGTGAAAATAAAAAATAAGTTAATACACACACACACACACACATATATATATATATATATATATATATATATATATATATATATATATATATATATATATATATATATATATATGTATAATGTCGGTTTACAAAAATAACCTTAATATATTAAGCATAATAACATATAGTAAAAGGATAAAAAGCGGAATTCTAGACATTAGTCTTGTAATCCTATTAGTTTTAGGACATAATACTAAACGTTAAGAATCCTTCATGATTCCTTTAGGAATCCTATTAGCATAATTACTTTCGGGCATAGACATATAATACTACAAGTTAGCATGTAAATCTAAGTCCTTTAGGAACACATTAGGTTTCCAATTAGTATAATTACTTTCGGGATAAAAGCATATTTTTAGTCATGTTATCCTATTTCTTAGATATATTTCTTAAAAATTTCTATTACTAATTTAATTTAAAAACGTATTATAATATCATATTACTAATATAATTCGATAATGTATTATATTATTCAAATCCATTTTTTTAAAATTAAAAAAGTCTATATCTATCCATATCTTCTATATTATATAAAAGTACGAATATAATATTGATAGACCAAAATAGTCATAAAATATTAAATAGAAGAACTCATAGGGAAAGGATATAACTGTAATAACCTATTTTTTGGACTACAATACCTTCTATGTTAATTTTTTTAATATTTAAGATTTTAAAATTAGAAAAATTGCGTCTATTATATTCTTATTAAAAATATCAAGGAAGGTTCAATAAAATTAATTTCATAAGAATACTCCGTATTAGCATTACATTCCCACTCCATAATGTCCAATTCCAAGAAAAGATAAAAGTAATGTTAAATTGACTGCATAAAACGTTGAAATTGAAAAAAAAAATTATTCCCACAATATATTTTTATATTATATTTCAACTGTTTTCCTACTCAAATAATATTTTTTCTTATCAATTTTTCGTGTAATATTAATGTCATGACCCGAATTTCTCATCGTCGGAACCGTGATGACGCCTAACATCACACTTGCCAGGCAAGCCAACGTTAGATTTTATTTTGCATTCTCTTTCCATTTTTAGTAGTCATCAGTAAATAGGCAAAATGAAGTGATATAAATGCAAGATGTATAGCTATCAGTTTCGTTTACATAATACTTCTACCCAGAAATTCGGTGACACAATTCACGAACACACTATGATTTTTTACAGACATCAGTCTGAAAGAAATTACAATTGTTTTGGAAATAAAGAAAACAGTAATATAGAGATGTAGAAGGGGACGCCATGGCCTGCGGACGCCGGCAGGACTCCCTTGGGTCTCCAAGTTGAATATATCTGCAACTGACCTCTCGATCAGCCACTACCTGCTCCAAAATCTGCACAGAAAGTGCAGAGTGCAGTATCAATACAACCGACCACATGTACTGGTAAGTTCCTAACCTCGACGAAGTAGTGACGAGGCTATAGCGGGGCAATTACAATATAACCTGCATATAGTGTATAATAAAGCAGAAAGAAAGACAGGACAAAACAAAGCAATAACTTGCAACAAACGAACACAGAACTCAAGTGTCTTATCAGTATCCAGAAATAACCAATTCCTTAAGTGAAATACAAAACTACAGAATAAAAGCACAGTAAAAGAAAGGTACATAAACACATAAATCGATGTGGCGCGCATCCCGATCCCACCATATATCAACATCAATATGAATAGTCACCCTTGTTACTCCATATTAATCCACTCTTATTCCTCCTGTTGCGGCGTGCAACCCGATCCCACCGTATAACAGTAATTCACTCTTATTCCTCCTCAATATATCACCATTATTCCTCCTGTTGCGGTGCGCAACCCGATCCCACCATATAATAGCATTTCGTCCTTATTCCTCCTCAATATATCACCCTTATTCCTCTTGTTGCAGGGGCATAATCTGTTCACACCATATCAGCATCAATTACTCAACAAGTACAAAAATTTCACAATTTAACTCAAAACTCTTCACAATATTTAAACCTCAAACCAAAGAAAAAGGAAAGCTTGTAAATTATGAAAGTTCACACAAATAACACTATTCAGCGAAACCAATCCAAAATATACCATAAAACAACGATAAACTAGCTTAAGCCAATAATATGAGATAATGAAATTACGGGGTAGCTAATACCTTCAATAATGGAAAACAATGTCGGACAAGTAGCAATTAAGCATGGAAATACCAGTAAAGCATGTAGCAATAAAGCAAAGAAGACAATACAATAAGAACGGGAAGAAAACAGGCAAAACATATAAATTAGCGGTGCATAGGTACTCGTCACGTCACCTATACGCCACTCACATGGATTTTCACATAACAATTAAGTCAAGGATCCCTAATCTCTCGATTCAAAGTTAGACACAACACTTATCTCGATCCGCGGGCCACTCACTGCTCAATTATCATTTTTCCTCTAGATTCCACCTCCAAAGCACTCGTATCTAGCCATAATTAACTAAATAACATCAAATGTTGCTAAAGGAATCAATTTCAATACATAAGTTTAGGTTTCCCAACATTAAAATCGACCCCGGACCCGCTTGGTCAAAACTCGGATCAAATCTCATTCCCCCATTCAGTCCCGGGCCCAAATACGTAATTAGTTCCGGAATCCGACCTCAAATCGAGGTCTAAATCCCCAATTTGCAAACCCCCC